CTTCAATAATCACAAGAAAAAAATCCTCTCAAGCCAAATATAGCTGTTTTTCAAACACATTCTCATTTTTTATATGACATTATAACGTGCTTCCAGTGTCTGTAAACTTTGGTGGATCTGTTATTGTATTGGTCAGAAGGTGCAGGGAGGGGATTTTATGTAATGAAGCCATCTTCCTGTGTCATGATAATGAAACCAAATTTGCTGGTTTTCTCCCAAGTTTAAAGTTCTGCATTTTATCACAGTCAGAAAGAACTAGGCTGTTCCCAGTAAATACTTCAGCCACAAATTTTGCTTCTCTTTTGCCACTGTGTACTTCCTGTTTTGTCAGTTTCCATTTAGGGAAGAGAATGGATTTTAGGGTAAGCTAGTTTGAGCTTCACATTTAAAACTTGTGAAGTTCACTTGGAAGCCACCCATCCCAATGTCTGGGGAGTGGAGGAGGGCAGTGCTTCATTTCTCCAACAGAAAGTTGCTGTCTCACAAAGCTTCCTTAGGCTTTGTCATGAGACTTGAATAGGGAATAGAAACTTGCCAGTCCTTTAGGCTTTCCATATTAAACGTATTTGAGTTTGTGAATGATTATGTTCCCAGTGAAGGATCTGTCTTGCTTCTAGTAGACTTCATAAACTTGTAAGAACTGCATTCTGCTGCATTTGCTCCACTCGTAGCAGGTACAAGTCAAAGTTCATAGGATAATCAGAATGCAAATCTTTTGAATGTGAGTCACAGTTGAGTCACTGTGAAGTACATTTGCAACTGACACAGTGAGTTGCAATTCATCACTCACCTAGCAAGCTGTTTGTTAGTAGATGTCCACAGAACCTGTTTTTGCTGCAAACCAAACGCTTGCCTTGCTGTCCAGATTTCAACACCATTTACAATGGTGGACCAAAACTCCTTAAAATTTTTTCATAGACTGAATTAAACTGGTCTACATTAAGTGAATACTTTTTCTCCTTAGCCTGACCAAAAAAAAAAAAGTACTTTTTAATCCCTAACCATTAATGACCAATAATGTAATTTACTCCTGGCCTCCTGTCCACCTTCAAGTTCCCCGGACACCCTTGCAGTACCCCCTTGGGAGCACCTAGGTTGAATGAAAGTATTTAAACTATTTTGCTATTAATTTTCTACTAGGTATTTCTCCCTTTTTTCTACTTATGTACTCTTACTTGTGAAATACATTTTTCATAAAGCTACATGAAGGTTGTTTTCCCAAATATCCACCATCTTTACCTGTTTTACTGTATGTTTTAACTTAATAAAAAGCATTATCTGTTAAACTTTTTCTGGTATCTTCTGTTGCCTTCTTTTAATGTGATTGATTTTGAGCTCCCTTGTAATACACACTTGTCATTCTACTACTAAAGAGGCTGAAGCAGGAGTACCACCTGGCTACAGACTCTGTTCTAAAATAGCAGCAGCAATAAAAAAAGCAAAGCAAAGCTGGGCAGTGGTGGTGCACGCCTTTAAACCCAGTACTCGGGAGGCAGAGGCACAGGATCTCTGTGAGTTCGAGACCAAGCCTGGTCTACCGAGCGAGTTCCAGGACAGGCTCCAAAACAATACAAAGAAACCGTGTCTCAAAAAAAAACAAAAACAAAAAAAAATCAAATCAAATATTATATGGTAAGAACTTCAAGAGGACCTTAAGCCATTCTCTGAGCTCTTTTCTCTCAATCGTAGTACTTACCTTAATCCTGTACTAAATAATTTCTGTTAAACCCAAACTCATCAGAGAGATCAATGATTCTCAAATATTAGTGTGTTCAAAAGAATTATATCAGGTATTTATTCAAAAAGGCCCATAGCTGAATTCAGGTCTTTAAAGAATTCTAAAGTTGGTTGTTTGGAAACCATACATCCCTCTCATCTCAGGTAAAGCACACATTTGTAGCTGACTATATACATACAACTTACATATATACAATAATATACATCTTTGTGATGGTCCTTGGTAGAGGTTATAAAAGTCTGCTTTTTTCAGAGAAAAAGATCTTGACATTTTTAAAATCTAGTTGGCAGTGGTATACATTGTAGACATCCAGGTATTCTCTTAAAATTTTTTACTACTGTCTATTAATGGTCAAAGGTGTGTCAACTAAGGATATATATATTACTTTACTAAAATTTTTGTAATTTGTATTTTTTTCTATCTGTATGAGGTTTTCTTTTCCTCTGCATGTATGTCTCTGCATGCCTGGTACCCAAGAATGCCAGAAGAGAGCATTGGATCCCTTGGAGCTGGATTTACAGATGGTTGTGAGCCATCTGAGGTGGGTGCTTAGACCTGAACTCTAGTCCTCTGCAAAAGTGGCAAGCACTCTGAACTGCTAAGCCATCTCTAATTCCCAGTTCCTACTCTTTTCAGAAAAATGTTTTTATGTGAGCCACGAAGATTAATAGTAATTTATGCTTGAAGGAGTGAGGTTTTTAATGTTTAAATATATGAAGCTTAGTAAATATACAATCGTCTATTGTATAGCACATACATAGTATAAGTTGAATAAACAGTAGATACAAACCGAATCAAAGATAGTAAAATATCTTGAGTTATGAGAATGGCTCTTTTATTTTCCCTGTAACTTTTAAAAAATACCCTAATTGCCAGGTGGTGGTGGTGGTACAAGTCTTTAATCCCAGCACTCAGGAGGCAGAGACAGGCAGGATCTCTGATTTCAAGGCCAGCGTGGTCTAATTCCAAGATAGACTTCAAAGCTTCAGAGAAACCTGGTCGGGGGGGGGGGGGGGAACGATGACACAAACCACCCCTACAATAGCCTAATTAGAGGGATCAAGATAGCAACAGTGATTTCATCAGTATGAGCCTTCTTAGAATATTTCATTTATAAAGGGTAAAAGTCAGTTTGTCTTATTTCAAGCCTGAGTGAAGTTGAATTAGAGGCAGATTAAAAAAAAAAATTTAGCCACGTGTGGTATTACATAGTATACTTTTGTTTTCCAGACAAGGTTTCTCTGGGTAACTGCTCTGACTTGACTGTCCTGGAATTCACTTTGTAGACCAAGCTGGCCTCAAACTCAGAAATCTCCCTGCCTCTGCCTCCTGAGTGCTGGGATTAAAGGTCCATGCCACTACTGATCAGCACATTTTTTTAAGATTGATTTATTTATTATGTATACAGTGTTCTGCCTACATGTTTGCAGGCCAGAAGAGGGCACCACATCACTATAGAAGGTTATGAGCCACCATGTGGGTGCTGGGAATTGAACTCAGGACCTCCAGAAGAGTAACCAGTGCTCTTAGCCTCTGAGCCATCTCTCCAGCCCCTGACCAGCACATTTTTAATCCCATCACTCCACTCGAGAGCTAAAGGCCTTTGTGTTGTTTCAGGTGCCAATATCAAGGTGATTTCTGGTCATAAGTTATTTACTCAATCTGAATATAAATATTGTCTATATTCATGTCAAATTAGAATGTGCCACTTTTCCCACAAAAGGCCAGTTATTCCTCAGTATCCATACATTAAGTTATGATTTGCTTTCATAACAGCTATAGTTAAGATGAATCTATTGATCTTAATATTGATCTCTTATGGTATTTATAGTAGCTTATAATTAACTGCTAAAACAAAGGTTTCTTTAGAACCACTTAAAAATGGTTATTAGGTACACGTAGTGAATTTAAGATGTATCAACAACACAGCAAAACTCATGTTCCATTAGTGCTTAAAGTAGTTAAGAACACACAGGACAGCTGGGCATTGGTAGCTCACGCCTTTAATCCTAGCGCTTGGGAGAGAGGCCAGCCTGGTCTACAAAGCGAGGTCCAGGACAGGCTCCAAAACAATACAGAAACCCTGTCTTGAAAAAAACCACAAAAAACAAAAGCAGGACTAGACATGTTTTATATACTGACCTAGATGTAGTCAATTTCTCTGAAAATAGATAAAGTCAACCAACACATCTGTCAATTTGGGTTAAATGCATAGATTGTAAAATCTAGCACATAGAAGCCATGATGATGAAATTTTCTTGAGTTGATTGCATATTAGTTAAGATGGTAAATTGATGTACTTAATCCACGTAAGTGTTCCAAATCTAGCAGTACCACATATCACTAGTTTCTTTGGAAAGCCTAGGAATTGAACTGGGCACTATTAACGTAAATTGGTAGGTATACTTGGTCTGAATAAAAATTCTTCCTCCTCCAGATAGTTATGACCTTTTTTCGTTATAATACTGACAATACAATGCCCTGCTAGGAATCAGCCCTAGTGCTACATGTACACTAGATGTAACCGGGTTTTATTAAAACAGTATGAAGGGATTAGGTTGTGTCAAGCATATTGAGATGATTGAATAGAAACTGTTAATCCATAAGGTCCACTCTTCATTACTATAAAGGAAAAAGCAAAATTGTTTACCCTAATTATAAATGTAGCTTTCATCTACTAAACTGGATTTTTTTACACAAAGGCCTCTATAGTTCAAGAGGGCTAGAGATGGCTCAGTGGGTAAGAGGACTTGTTGCTTTTACAGAGGATTAGGTAGTCTCCAGCACCCATACATAGTCTTGCATAGCCATTACTCTAGTTCCAAGAAATCTAAAATCCTCTTGTGACCTCCATGGGCACCATGTACAGGCATGGTACATACACATATGCAAAAACAAAATTAATCTAAAACTTTAAATTCTAGATAAGACAGAATGTAATTTTTTTATTGCTTTGAGACAGGGTTGCTCAGTGTAGCCCTGGCTATTAAGTAACAACTTGCTTTGCCCCCTATTACTAGGATTAAAGGCATGCATCATGCCCAGATAACACTAAGAACACAAACACATTTTTATTTATTTATTGGTGTTTTGGCTGCATGTGTGTCTGTGTGAGTGTCAGAAGCCCTGGAACTGGAGTTACAGACAGGTGTGACCTGCCATGTGATTGTTGAGAATTGAACCTGGACCCTCTGGAAGAACCTCTGAGCCATCTCTCCGGCCCCACCACTAAGAATTCTTAATCAAACATGAATACAATGAATGTTTATAAGACAAAAATTTAATGAAAACTGGTATGTGATCCATGGTGCTAGTAATATGAAACTGTCACAGAAATGTAATACAGAAGAGATGATGAAGAAAATATTACATATTATCATCATCTGATTCATCTTCTTCCTTCAAAGATTCCTGTTAAAAGAAAAACAGTATTTTAAGTTTTTCATCTTGTTACATCATATAGAACTTGCAATTTAAACTTCTGTAACTACAAACTCTGTAATTTATACCTTAAAAATACTATCTTGGCTAAGCAGTGTTGGCCAGTCCCTTAAACCCAGCACTTGGGAGGCAGAGGCAGGAGGAGGTCTGTGAGTTCGAGACCAGCCTGGTCTATAAGAGCTAGTTCTAGGACAGGTTCTAAAACAATACAGAGAAACCCTGAATATAAAAGCATTAAATGTGTGTGAGGGCTTAGAACTCAGAGGTCACTTGCATCTGCCTCCTAAGTGCTGGGAGCACCACCACACCTGGCAAAGTTGGAATTTTCAAGAACTTTTTTTTTTTTAACTAGGACAACTCTAACCCCCCCAAAGGTAACCTTAGTTCACACATCAACTAAGTGACCTAATGACTCAGTCCATGAGAGTGTTTACAACAGTGCTTATGCTGTTAACTTACCTTGGCATATTTCTCTGCTTCCTCCCTTATATCTTTTGGAACAATTTCATGTCTTCCTTTAGTTACTGTAGAGTCAAACCATATATTAAAAGTGAGCATTTTGATTTGCAATACCATTCACTCTCCCTAGTCTACAAGAAGTTGAGGTTCATTTTTTTGTTTCCTCCCCCAATACTCCAGTCTTCCAAGTTGAGCTAGCTTGAAGATAACAGTAAGTATGACAAGGAAATAAAACACCGTGTAGATGTTTCAATGAGAAGTATTCACCACACTGGTCAGTTACTTCATAGAACGGTTACATTAAATCATCTGAACGTACAATGAATTCTAGAACACATAAAAGTCAAATGTAACTTACATTCACCAACCCAGCTGAGCTCCAGTTCAAAAGCTTTATCCTTAACTTCATCGTGTACTATATAAATTCTATAAGAGAAAAGAAGACATTAACACCAAGACAAGTTCTAGGAACACTGAATACAAGACAGACATTTCATGCCTGATGTTATCTAGTTTGAGCATTATAAAAGACAAATTAGGGGCTTTCAAGACATCTTGGTGGTAAGAGCATTTGGTTCCCAGCACCCACAGGATGCTGACTTATAAACCATCTGTAACTCTCTTTCCAGGGTATCCAACACCTTCCCTGGCCTCCTTGGGAATCATATACACACATGGTACATGCAAGTGAAATATTTAGACACAGAAAATAAAAAATTCTTAAAATGGCAAATCCCTACAAATATTGACATGCCTCTATTAGTCAAGTTCAGTTTGTTTATTTTTCCTTGGTTTTTCAAGACAGGGTTTCTCTGTGGTTTTTGGAGGCTGTCCTGTAACTAGCTCTTTTAGACCAGGCTGGTCTCAAACTCACAGAGATCCTCCTGCCTCTGCCTCCAGAGTGCTGGGATGAAAGGCAGCCACCACCACCCAGCAAGTTCAGTTTATTTTGATACTGCTTTAAAGCTTCAAATAAAAAAGCCATCTCCGACAGAAAACAAGCTCAAGTTGGAAAGGCCATCATGAACTGTGTGTGTGCTTTTTCAAGATGCCCATTTTTTTCTATTAAACAAATATTCCAAAAACTAACCAATAATTTAAACCCCTTTCCAAATTAGTTAAATGCCACTATAGCTAGTTGTTATAATGTAAACACATTACAAACTTACAAACAATAAAGCATGTAACCAGTTACAGTAACAGTATAAACAACTGAGTATCAGCTGACAACAATGGTTAGTACCTACAGTCAGTCCCAGGAGGCAAAGGAAGATTCTAGCTACAAATTAACACCCCTTCCCAAACAAACAAAAGAAAAACAAAAGATATCCAATCAAATTCTCCTTACACTAACTTTGGAGTCTCTGTGAAAGCCTTGTTATATACTACTGCAAGAGAGTATCTTAGTTACAGGATGAAAGGATGGCTTCCTGATAGGGAACGAACAGTTATCTACCACTTATACAAAAGTATAAAAGGTGCCAAAGGGCTCCCAATAGGAACTTCAAAAGACTGCTTCAGTGAAAGAAACTGGATTGTATCATATTCACACTATTTTAAGGAAATTACTTTCACTTTCCAATGTAATATAGCTCTTAACTGATACAAAAAGCACTGCATGCAAGGAACACTTACAAGTATGGATTTATGGACTGAAGGGTATAGTGCGTGACTTTGTGTCTGTCACACTACAGCTTCCATGATATTCTTTTTTTCCCCTTTTAAATTTTATTTGAGAGGAGGCTGCAAGGGCAGAGGGTGAATAAGGGATGGGGAGATGAATGGGACTGGGATGCATCATGTAAAATGCATAAACATCAATAATAAGTTAAGCCGGCCTCAAACTCAGAGATCCATCTGACTCGACCCCCCTGAGTAGGCATGCACCACTATACCTGCAAGTTAATTCCTCTTTTTGAATTACAGCCACCTGGTGTTCTGACTTTTATTGCTTAGTATTTCAAAACTTGTTATCTGGACTCACTCTATACCTGTAATATAAATCCTGTTGTCTTAATTTTAAAAGTTTTGCTAAATCCGGGCGTTGGTGGCGCACACCTTTAATCCCAGCACTCGGGAGGCAGAGACAGGCAGATCTCTGTGAGTTCGAGACCAGCCTGGTCTACCGAGTGAGTTCCAGGACAGGATCCAAAACAACAGAGAAACCCTATCTCGAAAAACCAAAAAAAAAAAAAAAAGTTTTGCTAAAAGAATATAATAAACCTGAAAAGATTCAAACAGCAGCTGGTCTTCACAAGCCAGCCTGTTTAATCCCATGCAGAGACAACTACAAACCTACAAAAGAAAGTTAGTGAGGCTAAGTGTGTGGCTCACTGTCAGAAAAGGGTCAGTATGTGATAGTCCCATGTTCTATTCTAGCAACACATATACCCAGTGTTTAGTGTTTTATAACAAACATACTGTAGAGCCGGGCGTTGGTGGCGCAAGCCTTTAATCCCAGCAGGGGCTGGAAAGATAACTCAGCAGTTAAGAGCACTGGCTGCTCTCTCCATCTCATACTCTGAACTTTGATCTTAAACAAGCCTCTGCCCTGATGCCTACTCACACCATGATCCCAGAAACACAGCTGCTAAAATAAATCAAGGCCTTGAGCCTCTGTCCCTCAGCTTTCAGAGCCAGCAACAAGGTACAAGGCCAACAACTATGACCCCTTCCCCAGTGAAGAGTTCCCAGGGTGTCATGGTCTCCCCTTACATTAGCCACTGTACAAGTTCTCCCTCCCAGAGAAACATTGGTTAGGGACCTACTAGAGGTGCAGGAATTAGAATAGGGTTTGTGGACTGCACAGCCACCCTCAACAATCCTGTACACCCTCCAGGAGCCTGGAGGAGGTAGTTGGTTGGAAGAAGTAACCTCAAAAAAAAAAAAATTTATGCCAGGCAGTGGTGGCAAATGTCTTTAATCCCAGCACTGGGGAGATAGAGGCAGGCAGATCTCTGTGAGTTCGAGGCCAACCTGATCTACAAAGCTACAGAAACCCTGTCTCCAAAAACAAACAAAAAATTAATAGCTCTGTCAGGGCAGGAAGGCCCTCCAGGATTAGTTACACCATAGTGACCCTGACACACCTAACTGCATGCCTAGATGCCAGATGGGCAGCAGTGGCCCAGCTGCTGCATTGCTTGTGCACAGATGTGCTCAGACAAACACCATGAGACTGTAGGGTTAGAGGTGGGCATCACAAGGGTCAGGAAGACTGCCTCGAAGTGGAACAGCAGGGGTCTCTAGTTTGTCACAAGATATTTCTCTACCCCATTCATTACATGAAAATGTGCCTTTCCAGGCACAAGCCTTTAATCCCAGACATAGAAGCAGGTGGATTCTCTTTTGATTTCTAGAGCATCCAGGGCTATGTTGTGAAACTTTTGATTCTAAATAAAAATAAAAACGTATCTTCAATATGGTCATGCTAGGGGTTTAGCTCAGTGGTACAGCACATGCTTAACATAGATAAAGCCCTGAGTTCAATTCCCAGTACACACCCTATATACAAAAACATTTTCAAACATAATAGCCTCTTAAGAATTAATGTATACAGCGATTAGGTCTAGTAAGATTTTTCTTTTTAGATGGCAGATAAAAGTTTCAAACAACTTACATTTTTGCAACTTCTTTAACTACATCACGGCAAGTCATTTCTTTCATCTACAAGAAAAGCATACTAATTAATTTTGTGTAATGTATAATACCAAGAATGATGTTGCACACCTTTAATTGCAACTCTTGGGAGGCACACAGTCAGATGTCTGAGAATCCAAGTCCAGCCTGGTCAACACAGCAAGCTCCAGGACTGCCAGGGCTGTATATAGACCCTGTCTCCCCCTCCACCCCCCCCAAAAAGAGAAAAGTGTAAGCTATTTCCCTATTTGCATAACACGGTATTAATTACCAGTGCTCTTTTACTTTAGGATTGGGCTAACCGGAGGATATGAACTGACAGGTGGTTGTTGAGAACTGATCCTCTGCAAGAGCAGTAAATGCTCTTGACCACTGCACCATCTCTACAGCTCCAGGGACAATTGTTTTGGTTTGGTTTTGGGGGGGGAGAGATTCGCTGTGTAGGCTTGGCTGTCCTGGAACTCACTCTGTAGACCAGGCTGGCCTGAACTCAGAGACCCATCTGCCTCTGCCTCTGCCTCCTGAGTGCTGGGATTAAAGGTGCACACCACTTCCACCCTGCATGACAACTTTTAAGATATCAAGAATTAGCCAGGTGGGCCGGGTGTTGGTGGCGCACGCCTTTAATACCAGCACCTGGGAGGCAGAGGCAGGCAGATCTCTGAGTTCTAGGCCAGCCTGGTCTACAGAGCGAGCTCCAGGACAGCTTCCAAAACAATACAGAGAAACCATGTCTCGGGGAAAAAAAAAAAAAAAAAAGAAGAAGAAGAAGAAGAATTAGCCAGGTGGTGGTCCAAAACTCTAATCCTAGCGAGGCAGAAACAAGCAGATCTCTGTGAGTTCAAGACCATCCTGGTCTACAAAGTGAGCTCCATGAAAGCCAGTACACTTACACAGACAAACCCTGTCCCCCCCCCAAAAAAACCCAAAAAGATGTAATTAAGTTGTTAAAAGAATTATGTTTTATATGTGATATAATTAAAAGGATTTATTTCCTTGATTTCATGGAAGATAAAAACATAGAAGAAAAGTAGGAAGAAGGAAAAAAGTAAAGTGAGAAGCCAAAGGCAGGTGAGATGGCTGAGCGGGTAGCGAATGCATATACCACCACCCCGGGTACTTCCACATGCACACCATGGCACACGTGCTCAAAGCTGATGTCCCCACCAGAGCTACACAGTGACACTGAACTCAAACACAAAATAAAAAACACTGTCTACATTAGAAATCACTCACTGTTCCTTCAGTAAAGAATTAGAAATCAGGAGAAACATCTAGTTGACTGTTCAGCTGAGGAGTCTGAATACTGTAGGCATCAGAAGAACGAGCTAGTGTGATAGCATGCACCTGTGATGGAGGCTTAAAAAAGTGTTTGAGTGCTGGGCATTGGTGGCCCATGCCTTTAATCCCAGCACTGAGGAGGCAGAGGCAGAGGCAGGCGGATCTCTTGAGTTCAAGGCCAACCTGGTTTACAGAGTGAGTGCCAGGATAGGCTCCAAAGTTACACAGAGAAACCCTGCCTTGAAAAACCAAAAAAAAAAAAGTGTTTGAGCAAACCAATTTTCATTTTTCAGATACTAAAGTAATGAAAGATTACCTTATGATACAAGATTTAATTATGTTATCTTTCAAAGAGATTCATTAATATTTTGTTTGTTTTCTGTTTAGGACCAACACCCATGTTGGCCTGAAATTCTAGCTCCAGAGAAGGTGACAATTTCTTCTGGCCTCTGTACGCAACTATTTATTCATAAGTGTACATTCCTGGGCACATAATTAAAAGTAAAAATTTTGAAACTTCACCTAACAAAAGAAGACAACAGTCAGAGTATTTGGGAAAATAAAGCTTTTAAGAAAATATTCTATACTAATAGATAAACATCTAGTTTATGGTTAACAAAAAGTGGGTATTTTTAATCTGAGACAAGATCTTAATGTTTGGCCCAGATTGGTCTCTAAAGTTGGAGCAAATTCTTCTGAATCCCAGGATTACAGGGGTGCACCAATAAGCCACATTCAAAGAGCAAGTTGTAAACTTCATGCTTTCTTTAGCTTTAGGCACAAAGTTGGGAAAAGCACTTGAGCAGACACCAAGATTTTAAAGATAAAAGCTGTGTCTAACGACAAGATGTAGGAGAAAAGCCAAAAAACTTTTTTTTAATTGCAGTTGACCTAAGAATGGAATTCAAGATATATAGATAAATTTGTTTGGGGGCTGGAAAGATGGTTCAAAGGTTAAAAGCATTTGATGCTCTTACAGAGGGACCCAGGTTCAGTTCCACAACACCTACATGGTGACTCACAACAACCACTAACTCCAGTTCCAGGGAACCTGATGCCTTCCTTCTTTCAGGCCTCCTTAGGTACTAGACACACGACAAAATACACAGACATTTACACTGGCAAAACCCTCATACACAAGAAGCAAATCTTTAAAAAGTTCTGCAATTTTTTCCTCGTTTTTACAGAAGGAATAAAAATCATGGAAGGATACAGGATACAAGTCACAGATAATGTGTTACAAGGTTTCCTATTGAGCCAGTTAACGTGACAAAGTTTCTAAACATCAGGCCACATGATATTGTTGGACTAAGAGATCTGTAAATCCCACTTCTATCAAAACCCAGAATTCAAGATACTTTACCTGAAGCTTTTCTATTTCTGTCTTTGCAGCTTGCCTGGCTTTGCCAATGGCACAGCCCCAATAGCCCTGTGTAAAATGAGAGAAAGAAAAGTCAATTAGTATACAGTTACTTAATATCATTAATAGTTACTATTTAGTCTTTCATTTGCTAGCTGTGGTGGTGCACACCTATAATTCCAGCACTTAGGTCACAGAGTCAGGTAGATCTCTGGAATTGGAGACCAGTCAAGACAACATGGTGAGACTCTTGTCTCAAAAAAAAAACAAAAAAACAAAAAAACAAAACAAAATCAAATTAAAGAAATAAAGAAATAGCCAAACACGTGCCAGGCGTTGGTAGCACATGCCTTTAATCCCAGCACTCAGGAGGCAGAGGTAGGCGGATCTCTATGAGTTCGAGGCCAGCCTGTTCTACAAAGTGAGTTCCAGGACAGCCTCCAAAACAATACGAGGAAACCCTGTCTCGAAACCCCCCCAAAAAAAAGAAGAAGAAATAGCCAAATACATTCACATCTATGTCAGGAATCCTGAAATAGCAAGCCTAATTCCAGAAGAGTCTAAGTTGGGGCTGGATAAGTGGCCCAGTGTTCTAGAGCACTTGCTGCTCTTGCAGATGCTATGATCAATTCCCAGCACCCACATGACTGTTTACAAACACCATTAAGTCCAGCTCCAAAGGGATTCAATGCCTTCTACTGACCGAGTACCAAGCACACACAAGATACACATACATACAGACAAAACATACACGAAAATAAAATGAGTAAATCTAATTCAAAACTTTAAGTTGGTTCCCACCCCTGTGCTAGATTTCCAACCCAAAGCCTTGAAAATGCCAGTCAACTGCTCTACCACTGAGCAGTAAACTTTGCCCTATATTCAGTACATAATACAATGATGAGATAGTCACATACGTACTCAAAAAATGTTACCAGGTAGTTCCTGTAAAGAGCACCCTGAAAGCCAGTCATAAATGTTCTCTACTTCATAGCAATATGTTCATTAATATAAAAAAACTACTTTCCTCAAATGAATTTTGGTTACTTATTTATCCCCACCCCCAGACAGGGTCTCTGTGTGCAAGAGCCCTGGCTGTCCTGGAACTCAGAGGTCCGCCTGCCTCTGCCTCCTGAGTGCTGGGATTAAAGGCGTGTGCCACCATGGCCCGGCTTTATTTTTTAAATGCTATGGAATGAAGCCAAGGCCTCATACATGCTAGGCAAGCATTAAAGATTATGCTATACCCAGGTGTTTCTTTTACTCTGAGTCTTTTAATCTTTAGTAAGCTGTCAAGATCTTTTTGTGATGGCTCAGGCTAGCCTTGAATATGTAATTCTCCTGCCTCTCCTCCTCAAGTAGCTGAGACTACTGGCCTCCATCACTATGTCCAGTTTTAACTGAGTCTAAACAAAATTTGAAACAATGCAAATGAGATAAGCAATAATGAAATATCATTTAACTACAATAGAATTTTAAATAATTTAAAATTTACTCACATATGAAACCCCCGACGGATCAATCATATAAAGCTGTGCACCATCATTCGCACTGTAAGACCCTAACATGAAACTGCATAAAAACAAACAGTTTACAACATGGCTCTAAGTACCATTATATATAAGACCACTGTGATGAAACTGTAGTTAGATTTTCTCTGATAAATTAGTAAGAAACATAATTTACAGTTCTTCGATAAGACAGCTTCAGTAAAAACTAGTATTAAACTACAGTTTTCAAATTCCATGTGACTTGTTTAGTCAACCTTTCTTAGGAAGCTTTTTATTCTGCAGTGTCAGAAATGGAGCAAAAGGAGTGAGGGTGTGTAGTGAGAAAACCGCTATAGGGCCTGATGAGCAAAGTTACTACACAGTAAAAGGCTAACGGAACAAACTGTGGTGAAAAGCAACCTTCATTTTATTTCCCAGCATTCCTCTAGTCTGCAATGGTCAGAAATGGCTCAGTGTTTTTATATGCTCAACAAATTAAAATTACGTTTGGTAAATGATCATGAATTGCCAATTTTCTGAAACTCTTTTCTTTTAAAGAAATCAGCCTTAAAACAACCTAAAAGCCAACCATCCCAATCTGTGCCCAGCTTTTCCCTATTCAAACCAATGCAATTCTTTCAGACTATAAATCTGATTATCCTTTAAAAACCCTTCAACATATCCTCTCCTGAAACCCTTTACTTTGGAGCTGTTACACACTAGTCTCTTTGCACATCTGTAGTATCGCTTCTATATACATGTTTACTACCTTTGCACTCCTAGAATTGCCCACATTTCACACCAACATAAGATAGTCTTCACCCATCCCCCCAATATTTCATGTACATTTCCTTGTCACCTCTCTGAAAACAGATCACTCCTTAACTGCCACCCCACTGTGTTCAGTACCAATGACTAGATCCCATCATTTCATTTCTAATGGCTGTTATATCAATGTGACATCTGTCCCCACATTAATGACTGAATTAATGGTACATGCCCAAGAAATCACTCTTCCTAGAAAGGAGCTGATGAGCATGGAACTCAGTTACAATGAGAGGTTTCATGAGTAACCTAAATAAAACCCTTAACAATGCTCTACTGGGGTCTAACACTGGTAATAAGATTCAGGTTGTCAATAGATCTGTCATTTGTCTATTTAAATATGGCGTATAAGCAACTTAAAGGCTGGATAATAAGATACTTAATTGTGATTAAGCATAGCCAGCTAGGTTTTGTTTTCTTTACTTAGAGACAGTCTTTGCATCCCAGGTTGGTCTTAACTATGTAGCTAACAATAATTTCTGACTTCCCCCCTTACCTCCAGAGTATGGAGATTATAGACTACACTACCATGACTAGCTTATGAGTTGTTGGAAAAAGACAGGGCTTTGCTCGTGATACATAAGTACTGAGCTACACCTCCAACCAATAAATTAAATGTCTTCATTTCAAATTTAGTCATAACAGTTCTCCCAAGAATCCTTATTACAATGTTAACACCTATTCTAATTCTTGCTACAAGACAATCCCCTTTCTCCAGCAAATACTTCATCTTAAACAGAAACTGGCTATCCTACATTATGAAATGTGATTTTGTATGGAACCATTATTGCTGACTGCTTTAAAAAAATCCACCTCCATTTAGAACCATTTTATTTAAGTGTTTAAATAGCTGTACCTCATGTCAAGATAGAAAGTACTTGAGTAACAGGGACATAACTGCAGAGAATTTATTATGATTAGATTAAAATCATAATTACAATCACTTTAGAACTAAGATTCCTTTCACCATACAGTTTTTAGGATTTTTTTTTTGGAGACAGGCTCCCTAAGTAGCCCAGCTTGGAACTCACTATGTAGTCTAAACTGATCCTGAACTCAGAGGCAATCCTCTTGCTTCAGCCTCCTGAGGACTGGAATCACAGACATGTACCATCAAATCCAGCTTAAAAGTATACTTTTAAGAGTTGCCTACTACTTCTTGTGAGAATTTATATTTCAGGTGTCTCAGAAGCTAACCCGGGGCACAAGGGAGGTGTCTCAGTGAGCAGAGTGCTTGTTGCACAAACATAAGAACCTGCCCAGAATCCACAGAAAAGAGTGTATGTCTGTAACACTGGCACACTGATGGTACAGATATTAAGAAAAGGAGCCGTGGTAATCCACGCTTTTAATCTCAGCAGAGGCAGGTAGATCTCTTTGAGTTCAAGGTCAGTCTGGTCTACAGAGCAAGTTCCAGGACTGGCTCCATACTAGTGAGAAACCCTGTCTGGGAGGGGAAAAAAAGAAAAGAAAAAAGGCTAATTTGTGGAGAAAAATAACTACTGTATAAATAAGACTTAAAGGTCTCACAAAATTTCATACCTGCAGCCAAAAGGTCTAACAGCACTGTAGAGTGTATAAGCGTGTACATACATGGCCACTCTGTCTGCAAGATGCTGTAATTATGAGGGGAAAAGACTTTATTAATACATTTCCATTACTGTTCAAGAGGTTCTTCAACATATTATCAACTTACTTTTAGAGGAATGTTATAGCCAAAATTAGATCTAAAGTTGGATGCTTCTTCTCTTGCTATGTCTGCTAAGGAACGAGCATCTGCCAGCAGACCTGCAACTGCCTAGAGGAAAAAGAACCAATTTAATAGACAGTATTATAGCAAACCAAAAGGAAAATCATTTAAACATCATCTCTGCTGAAAGGTCTTTAAAAAGCATTTTGATGTTTTAATGTAAGATCATAGCTAATTTGCAACTCAACTGCTCAGTGTTGGGAAGGAACATTCATACCAGAGTTCACGTTCCCAAATTACCACCTCATTGTAAAGAATAAAAAACGAAGCAATGAGCCAGGCGTTGGTGGCGCACGCCTTTAATCCCAGCACTCGGGAGGCAGAGGCAGGCGGATCTCTGTGAGTTCGAGGCCAGCCTCGTCTACAAAGTGAGTTCCAGGACAGCCTCCAAAGCCACAGAGAAACCCTGTCTCGAAAAAACAAAAAACAAAAAAACAAAAACGAAGCAATGGTCAGTCAGGTGGTGGTGGAGCATGCCTTTAATCCAGCACTTGGGAGGTAGGGGCTTGGCTTACACTCAGATGGTTTAGCTATCAAGCCACATGAACTAAGAAAGAAGCCTAAGGAGCTATGTATTTCCCCTTTCACTTTACATCATTTCCTCTTTTTTTGTCCCCAAAGGCATTTATTTATTTTTTATATACTGTTCTGCCTACATGCCATAAAAGGGTACAAGATCTCATTATAAATGGCTGTGAGCCACCATGTGGTTGTTGGGAATTAAACTCAGGACCTGTGGAAGAAGAGCCAGTGTTCTTAATCTGTGAGCCATCTCTCCAGCCCCTTATTTCCGTTTCTCTGTATTGTTTTGGAGGCTGTCCTGGAACTCTGTAGATCAGGCTGACCTCAAACTCACAGAGATCGATCCACCTGCTTCTGCCTCCCGAGTGCTAGGATTAAAGGCATGCGCCACCAACGCCTGGCTATTTCTTCTTCTTATACCTTACTATAAAGTGTTCTGATAACATTTAGTGATAATCCCCATAATGGATACAAAAAGCTTAACATTCTTTGCGTCTCAAATATTTATCCCCCAGTGATCTATGCTGTTAAGATCTCATTTCTGCATACTCTGAATCACTCTCTCTCATCCTAAAGACAACTTGAGTTTCCTTGTCACCAGTAAGGTTATAAAATTGTTTCCTTTTGAATTTGAAGAATGATCAAAACCCAGTAAAAAAATTTTTATTGTGGCTGCTCAAACATTACTACCTTAGTATTAAATGAACAAATTCTTAAAAACAGACTATAATGTATTTTGGTTATATCAAAAGTAATCAGAAAAAAACAAGGTGAACATTTTAAGGTGTGATCTTACCATTCCAACATGTCGATCAACATTAAAAAGCCGTTTGTTGGAGCCTTCTTCATAAAGTTTCGAAAGGACTAATTTTTCTACCCCAAACACAACACCATCTTTACATCTGATCCCAATAGCTGTACTGAAACAAGAAGAAATTTTTCTTAGCTGAAATAGAACATATATAAAAAATAAATAAAATCAAAGGGTTGGATACAGTTCAGTTTGATGGCCTAGTCTGTGAAAGCCCTGGGTTCAAGTCCCAGACTATTAAAAAAAAAAAAAAAAGGTATGTGCATACTTGTAATCCAGCACTTCAGAGATGGAGGTAAGAGGATCAAAAGTTCAAGGTTACGATGTTTTTATTTATGGCAAGTTTATATATGAGTACCTAGAGAGTCAGAGGCCAACCTGGGCTACAAAGCTAATTTTGGGTTGGGCATAACAGTAGTGTTTGCCTATCAGGAATGAAGCCCTTGGTTCAATCCCCGGTACCACAGAGAAGCAGTGCAGAATGATACACAGCTGCAATCCAAGCACTAGACAGAAGAGTCAGAAGTTCAGGGCCATTCTCTGCTAAATAGCAGAGTTGAAGGACAGCCTAAGACACAAGGAACCCTATCTTTTTTGTTTTTGTTGTTGTTGTTTTGAGACAGGGTTTCTCTGTACTGTTTTGGAGCCTGTCGTGGAACTTGCTCAGTAGACGAGGCTGGCCTCAAACTTGTAGAGACCCAGCTGCCTCTGCTTCCCAAGTGCTGGGATTAAAGGCATGAGCCACCAACACCCGGCTAAGGAACCCTGTCTTAACAATACACAAATAATATTTAATATCTAAAACACAGAGAATACCTTTAAACATGTACTTTTTTGTTAAACTTGGAAGCACTTTCTTCAATGTATTATTTTCTGTGTGCGTGCTCTCATACTCACATGCACAGAGGACACTAAGGGAGTGTACTTCTCTCCTTCCACCATGTGGATTTCAGGGATCAAATTCAGAGCTGGTGACATGGAGTCATCTTATCAGCCCACTTTAAAATATTTTAACTAGTTGCAGGCAGTGACAGAACAGGCAGAGGCAGCTGGGCCTCTACAAGTTCGAGGCCAACCTGGTCTACAGAGCAAGTTCCAGGATAACCTGGACTATTTGTTATACAGAGAAACCTGTCTCAAAAAAGGAAAGGAAAAAGCAAAACAAAAAACCCAGAGGCCAGGTATGGTGGCACCCTGTCTCAAACAACAACAAAAAAGTCCTACTATGTTGCCCTTGGCTGGCCTGACTCACAATAATCTGCCTCTTAAGTGCTGGGATTAAACATATGTGCCATGCTACACCAGGTCCAGTGAGATCTGTCTTTAAAACAAAGGTGTATAGCATACACAAAGAAGGCGTACTACATACAAAGTAAAAAGAATGACTAAGTATTTCTCTTTTCATCTGTTTTTATCAATTTTTCTGCAATAAATATGTACCCCTTCTAGTAAATATGCATACCAATAAAATATATGTCCTGTTTCAATTAGAATCTTCTTTTAGTTTTTTTGAGACAGGGTTTCTTTGTGTAGCCCTGGCTGTCCTGGAACTCATAGACATCCACCTGTCTGCCTCCCAAATGCTATGATCAAAGGCGTGCACCACCATCATCAGGCACAACTCAGATCTTAATCTCAAGTAAAATATAGACAAATTGCATGATGTTATGTCAATCTTAATTTCCCTCTTTTACTAGTAGAGAGGGGTACAAGAAGTACAACCATGCTTTGCATATCCTAGGCAGATGCTCTACCACTCCACTCCATTCCTGGTTCTTTTTCTGTTTTTTATTTCATTAATATTGTTATTAATGCTAACATGTAGCTATTATTAATTTTATAAAAAAGTTTCAGGGACTACACTCTGCCTCATGCACACTACACTAAGCATGCACCAGCAAATCTTCAGCTCTGTAGTATCTGTCCTGCTTGTCTTTGTTTTGTGCTAGGGATCAAACCCCAGGGTTTTGTGTGTGTGTGCTAGGCAAACACTTTACCAGTAAACTACATTCTGGGCCCTTTCTAAGTTTTGGGATTTTGTTTTGTTAATCGAAACATGCTTTCTCTGTGTAAAACTCCCTCTGTAGACCAGGCTGGCCTTCAATTCAAGATCCACCTGCCTCTGCCTCCTGAGTGCTGGGTTAGGTTTGCAACACCACCACCCAGCTCTCCTGAGTTTTTCTTAACTTCAGCTGGTTGAACCTGTAGAACTCATGTGTAAAGTGAGCTAACTATATTTACAACTATAAGCTACTTTAATAAATATTAATTATTAGTAGCATTAGTAATAGTGAATAGGTCAGCAACACATATCTGTAATCCCAGCATTCAGAAGACTGAAACCACAAGACTACAAGTTTTAAGGTCTTGGCTATATACTGAATTTGTAAAATAAAATAAAGATCCAAAAATAGGTGGGGCTGTTAAGATGGCTGAGTGGATAACCATTATGCTCCAAGCTTAGTACAAGTTCGACTGTCCAAAACAATTCCACAGATAGTCCCCTGCTCTCTATTAGCGGGCACATGTGCACACACATGAGAACACAAACACATGCACACACACAAACTTTTTCAGGCCAGCACTGTGGCACCTGCCTTTAATCCCAGCACTCAAGAGGTAGAGACGAGCAGATCTCTTAAGTTTGCGGCTAGTCAGTCTGGTCTACAGAGTGAGTTCCAGAACAGTCAGGAAAACGCGCGCGTGAGCGCACACACACACACACACACGTCTGGAAAAAACAAAAACAGAGGACTTTCCCAGTTGGGTGGTGGCACACTCCTTTTAAAAGCACTTAGGAGTAGAGGCAGGTGAGTCCTTTTGAGTCTGAAGCCTAACAATCTAGTCCTTATAAGAACTTTCACAGCTAGGTTCTTCGATGAGAGGAGAAAGACCAAAACATCATGTTTGCCTTTTCATATAACCATCTAAGAGCATACTATCTCTTTACTTCGTGTGTGTGTGTGTGTGTGTGTGTGTGTGTGTGTGTGTGTGTGTGTGTGTGTCTCACTGCAGAAGCCTGTGGAGATAAGAGGTGTGAGATCCCGAGTTGGAGTTTCAGGTGGTTGTGAGCTGCCACGTAGGTGCTGGGAAACAAACTCAGGTCCTCTGTAAGAACAGTACAGTCTTAACTACTAAGCCATCTCTCCAGTCCCCTAAGAACACTTTGATAAAACAGTTATAATCACAGCACATGTATTTCTAGTATAGTCGTTTTAGGCACCTACTTGTATGCCCCTAATTAATTATTTTGGTGTTTCTTAAACTAAACAGGTATTGGCAGTGGCAAAGCACTCTCCTATCAAAACACCCAACACGAGGAAAAAAAAATCACCCTTTGATACAGAACACAATCTTAAAATTATCAACTTAAATGTTTCCTACCTGTTTAAACATCACACCCAGTTTTTTGGGTGCTGGAGGTCAAATCTGGGCTTCATGCATACTACACAAGCAGCAAGCACTCTACCAACTCAACTACATTTGTCTCAAGAGTTTTTTCCTTTGTCTTGGTTTTCCAAGACAGGGTTTCTATGTGTAAAAACCCTGGCTGTCCTGGAACTTGCTCTGTAGACCAGGCTGGCCTCGAACTCAAGAGATCCACCTGCCTCCGGAGTGCTGAGACTGAAGGCGTATGCCACCACCATCTGGCCTCAACAGTTTTCTTAAGATATGTGTGTACACATCCATTGTCTATGTATGTGTCTGTGAGTAAACGTACAGAGAGCAGAAGAGGGCGGCAGTGGAGCCTCAGATCTGCAGTATAAGCAACTACTGGAAGCTAAGCTAGTTAGTGGCACTGGAATCTATACCACCGTCCTCATGATTGTGCAACACACACTCTTAGTCACTGAGTTATCTCTGCAGTGCCAGTTACTTATTTATATAGAAAAAAAAATCTTGCCCGGCAAGATGGTGTACATCTTTAAACCCAGCAGCTGGGAGGAGCTGGGAGGTAGAGGCAGATGAATCTTCTTAGGTCACCCTGGCCTACATATAGAGTTCCAGACCAGCCAGGGCTACACAGTAAGATCTAAAATAAATAAATAAATAAATAAATAAATAAATAAATAAATAAATAAATGAGATGGAGAGCTGGCTCAACGATTAAGAGCACCGGCTTCTCTTCCAAAGGGCCCAGGTTCAATTCCACACCCACATGGCAGCTCACAGCTGCCTCTAACTCCAGTTCCAAGGGATCCAACACCCTCAATACAGACATACATGCAGGTAAAACACCAATGCATATGGAATAAAAATAAAATAGGGGTTGGGGATTTAGCTCAGTGGTAGAGCGCTTGCCTAGCAAGCGGTTCGGTCCTCAGCTCTGGGAAAAAAAAAAAAAAAGACAAAAATAAAGTTGGGCGGCGGCGCACGCCTTTAATCCCAGCACCCGGGAGGCAGAGGCAGGCGGATCTCTGTGAGTTCTAGGCTGGGCTGGACCGACAGCCTCGAAAACAATACAGAGAAACCCTGTCTCGTAAAAACAAAAACAAAAAAAATTTCAAAAATTAACAAGATGGTTTTGGTGGGTAAAAGTGTGCCATGCAAGCCTCAACCCAAGCAAAGGTGGAAGATCTGCACAAGAAAGAGCTCTGGAGAGGACTAATAAAAAGCTGAGATTATGCAAAGCAAGGTGGAGCACACCTTTTATCCCAGCACTGGGAGGCATACATCTGTGAGTTCGAGGCAGACGGGTCTACCAATTGAGCTCCAGGACAGCTAGGGCTGTTACACAGAGAAACTCTGTCTCAAAAACCAAAATAATTTAAATAAAAGAAGTTGAAATTACTTCAGGGTATAGTATCTGTTTATGCTAAAGCAATATACAAATTCTGATTGCCACAACATACAAGAAAGATAATTCCTGCTTAAGACATTCACTCAAATAAAACAGTGTTTCTTACCTACTGTTTTCCACAGCCTTCATTGCATACTCAACTTGAAAGACTCTTCCATCAGGAGAGAATGTAGAGGCTGACAGGTCATACTGACAACAAAGAGCAACAGAAAGTTTACAGAACATCTTTGCCAACAACAGACATACAATTCCTTCCAAATAGCTCAAATACCAGAAATGGCATATCCTAATGGAGAATGCTTTGTTGCTCAGGGATAACTAACTACAGATCTTAGATGTCTTCTACTGAAAAGTAATGGGTCTAAATAACAAGAGATACGGCTCAGCTATTACGGGTACCTGTTTCTGTTGCAGAGGATATGAGGTTGGGTTCTCGAATTTAGAACCATCTGTAATTCCAGTTCCAGGGGATCCAAAGCCCTCTCCTGGCCTCAATTAGGCACATACAGGGTCCACATACATACACTTAACATAAAATACCTATAAAGGTAGTTTAAATAATGGATGCAAATCTTAAGAAAGGTCAGAACTTTTTTACACAAAACTTTTTTTTAAAGTATTGCTGCTGGATATGGTGGCATAGGCTTTTAATCCCAGCACTCAGGAGGCAGAAGCAGCCAGACCTCTGTGAGTTGGAAGCCAGCCTGCTATATAAAGTAAGTTCCAGGACAGCCTGGGTTCCAGGCTATTAGAGAGAAACCCTGTCTCAAAAAAAAAAAAAAAAAAAAAAGAGTATTGGTAAACATTGAAGTCAGATCATTTACATTTGTATCTAAGCCAGGAACCAAGGAAAGATCCTGGTTAAATAAATCATTTATCATTCGCATCTACTGTATTGAGTCACTATGTGGGAATATAAAGACTTATCACCCATTCATAGTCCTTTTATGTTCAAATCAGAGGAACCACAAATCTAGGTGATCAATATATTACAAGTATGATCAAAGACATAAAAAAGCAATGAAAATGAAAGGGAAGGGATATTAGGAATTACCACAAACTGCTTCATCAAGAAAAGCCTTGCTAAGGCACTCAGACCTCAGTGACGAGGAAAGTCACCTATGGTATGAAGAAATTTCCTTATGGAAGGAAGGGATAAATAAGAGTAGCCCAAGCCAAGGAACTGGTGTCATATAAGTGGAGGAGGAACGAGCAAGAATGAGAAAAACCGCCGGGCGTTGGTGGCGCACGCCTTTAATCCCAGCACTCGGGAGGCAGAGGCAGGCGGATCTCTGTGAGTTCGAGGCCAGCCTGGTCTACAAGAGCTAGTTCCAGGACAGCCTCCAAAGCCACAGAGAAACCCTGTCTCGGAAAAAAAACCAAAAAAAAAAAAAAAAGAATGAGAAAAATCTAAAACATGCTAGAGAGCCAAACTAGGTTGGAGGAGGTAGTTTACATTTTATTCTTGATGCAATGAGGTGTAGACACCAGGAGGTGGTATAATCTAATTCACATTGTTTCTTTTACATTTACCTATAGTAGTTGTGCCATTGAGAGGTCAGGGGACAACTTTCCAAAGTCAGTTCTCTCTTCCTACCATGTGGGACCTGGGAATTGAACTCGGCATTGCAGGGATTGAACTCAGCTGTTAAGTCTTGGTGGCAAGCACCTTTATAAAGTAAGCCATTTCACAGGCCCAAATCTAAGCATTAAAGAAAAAAATCACTCTGGCTTGCGCTGAAACAAATTTAGAGGCAACCAGTGTGAGTGTGGAGCTCAGACATTCCAAGCAGTAGTGGCTCTGACTATACAATAAAGAAAGTAACCTTTGGGGACACAACTAAACATAAAACAAAATAAAACATAGTAGAGCTAGGAATGGAGCTCACCTAGCAGGCACATGGTCTAGGTTTAATCCCTAGGTGTGTAAGTACACACACACACACACACACACACACACACACACACACACAGGGAGGGGGCGCTTAGGAATAGATAGCTTTCAGTGTAAAATAAAAAAGCAAAGTCAAATGACCCATTTTCTTTTTCATTTGATCATGAAAACTGGACAATTCACTGAGCTGAAGACTGGAGAAGCCTGTCCAACTAGAGAATTCATAATACTACCTTCCTTAATAACCATTTCTGGCTTCCTGTCTCAATAATGAGCACTTGAGGCTGGCACAGGGGGATGAAGAGTTCTAGGTTAGCCTAGGCTTCCTAGTATGGCCCTGTCTCAAACTCCTCCCGCAGTATTTTTCTTAATCGAATACAGTTAAGATTTGCAACTCAGTGAATTGCCTACTATCTCTTGAGGCCCTGGGTTGACCTTTCCATCTGCCCAGCAGTAGAGAGAAAAAAAAAACCAAATAGACAGAAATGACCAACAGATACTGGTATTTATAACTCTTGAGAGACTTGAAGCCAGGAAACAAACCTTCAACAGTGAAACTTCCTAAGGCTCGGGGTTATTACTTTCATACTGAAATATTTCACATGGAATGTCAGATGACTACCGATGGACGGACGCTAACACTGACACAAAAGCAAAGCAAATTTACTGTGAGGTGTATTACTAAGCGCTAATTCCAAAAACCGTATTACATGACATGAATACTTCAGTACCTCGTAACCACTTAAATCATCCAAACACCAGTAAGTAGATTTAATTCTGAGCATCAAAAAATCTTTTTTTTAAAGACCGGGTCTCTTTATGCTGTCCTGAAACTAACTGTAAACCAGGTTGGCCTCGAACTCAGAGATCCTCCTGTCTCTACATCCCAAGTGCTGTGATTAAAGGTGTGCAACACCACAATCATGGAGGAAACAGGGATAACCAAGAAACCTATTGTTCATTATGTCTCCTGAATGTAATCAACAGACATTCGTTAAGTAGTTTACATATGGCTGGGCGTTGGTGGCGCACGCCTTTAATCCCAGCACTTGGGAGGTAGAGGCAGGCGGATCTCTGTGAGTTCGAGGCCAGCCTGGTCTACGGAGCGAGTTCCAGGACAGCCTCCAAAACATTACAGAGAAACCCTGTCTCGAAAAACCAAAAAAAAAAAAAAAAAAAAAGTCGTTTACATATGGAGACAAAGGAAAAGTGGAGTAAATCACTGCACACGGGGTGTGTTTAGCAAATTAAAAGGCTCAACTTGCAAACCCTCAACACTCTTCACAAAAACCTGAGCACTGAGGCCCCTAGAAAAGCGAACTGAGGAGACAGGCAAAGAAATCATGCGATCGGGCCTTCGCGGTTCTGTCACGACAGGTTTCCAGGGACTGCCCAGCGACCTGAGGCCAGGGGCGGCCTGTGAGTCAGCAGCACCGCAGCCCCGGCACGGGCGGGCCCCGCGCACGGCGGGCTCCAGGCACAACCCAGGCGCTGCGAGCGGCAGGGGCTCGCACCGAGGGGCTCTCGAGGGCCGAACTCGGGCCCCAATGCTCACACTAGGGCAGGCCGCACGCGTTTTCACTTTCGGTTTCCTCGAGCAGCGGACGAAAGTGACTCAGCAACCCGGGCAGGGGCTGCGCGGGGGCGGCCACAACGGGCCCGAAACACCGCAGCGGCCGGGGCCGCAGAGATGAGGACCTGGGACGCGGCGGAGGCCACGGGTCCCCAGGACTCGGGCAGCGCCCGGGCTCCAGCGGCCCGAAGCCCCGCCGACCTGGCGAAGACGGCGCGGAGAGACTCACCCCGGTCCCAATAGAGCTCATGGTGCCGACCCCGGAGGCCGCGCAGCGCTTCCAGGCCTGCAGTGCCGCTCCGCCGCCGCTCACTGCGTAGGCTAGTAACGGGCTCGCCCATTGGCTGCGCTCTCCACCAATAGCCTCTCCTTTTGCGGCTCGTTCGGCGGGCTACGTAGAGGGTGGTAAGAAAGGTGAGGGCGAGCAGGAGGCGCGCGTGCGCAGAAGCCGGAGAGGCGGTTCCTTGGAGAAGCCGGTGGTACTGCAACTGTGATTGTTACTAGAGGCGCTAAGGTCGTCGCCCCCCCTGTTGGTCCGAATGAGCTAGGTTTGGCCACCTGTCCTCAGTAGCCCCGTTACACACCAGAGTACTTAAAAGCCGGAAGGTTTTTATTCCAGGTGGTCTGCCAAGACGTAGGAACTGTGAAATGTGTTTGTGAGAGAAAAGGTGTCCCTCTGACTGGAACCATGCGTCGGTCTTTTTTTTTCACCCGGGATGAAATTACTGGAGAAGTTCCTGTTTCGTGGAGTCATAGTAAAGAGAAGAGCGCAGGTGTTTCTTTTACAATATCTTCATTCCTGCCAGGAAGATTACAAAACTGCATTAGAAAAGGCTAAAACGGCCGGGCGGTGGTGGCGCAAGCCCTTAATCCCAGCACTCGGGAGGCAGAGGCAGGCGGATCTCTGAGTTTGAGGCCGGCCTGGTCTACAGAGTGAGTTCCAGGACACCTCTAAACAATACAGAAGAAAGAAAGGAAAGGCTAAAACGCTGGGCAGTGATGGCGCACGCCCTTAATCCCAGCATCAGGGAGGCAGAGGCAGGTAGATCTCTTGAGTTCGAGGCCAGCCTGTTCTACAGAGAGCGAGAGAGAGAGCGAGAGAGAGAGAGAAAGAGCGAGAGAGAGAGAGAGCGAGAGAATTGAGGGGTGGAGGGCAACAGATAAATCAGAGATGTGGACCTGACCTTGTAGTTTGTAAATCAAACAGCAGAAGCATTTTAAAATCCTGAAGACTTTAATTTTACATAGCCAGAGAACATTTTACAGCATGGTGATACAGATCTATCACCTTACTCAGAAGGCTGTAACAAGGCTGGCCAGTCCATAGCCAGCTCGGAATACAAGAGCCACTGTGGCAGGGCGTTAATCCCAGTACTTAGGAGGCAGAGGGAGGCGGATCTCTGTGAGTTCGAGGCCAGCCTGGTCCATAGAGTGAGTTTCAGGACAGCCTCCAAAGCCACAGAGAAACCCTGTCTCACAAAACCAAACAACAATATCAACAACAAAACAAGAGCCACTGTGTAAAATCAAAAACAAAGAAACCAACAATGGCAACAAAACACATTTTAGAAATGCACTATCAGTCAGCTTATTTTGGCTTGCTGCTTTGTTGAAGCAGTCTCAAGTAACTGAGGCTGTCCAAAGATGACCTTGAACTCCTGATACTTTTTGCCACCACCTGCCAAAAGCTGGAATCACAGCCCTGATCATCAAGTGAAGCCCCAGTAATGTCTTTTGTAAGAAAAGAAAAGACAATCCAAAGGTAAACTTTGCTTTCAGTAGTGTTTGTCTCCTTAAGTGTGGAAAAAAAGTTGTTTAGCATTTAAGTTTCCATGGCATTAACATCTTTTTTGTTTGTTTTATTATTTTAATTTTAAATAGCTTGTTTTACATGTCAATCCCAGTTCCCTCTCCATCCCCTCCTCCCACACCCTCTGTTTTTTTTTTTTTGGTTTTTTTTTTTTTTTTTTTTTTGAGACAAGGTTTCTCTGTGTAGCCCTGGCTATCTGGAACTTGCATTGTTGATCAGGCTGGCCTCAAACTCACAGAGATCTGCCTGCCTCTACCTTACAAGTGTTGGGATTAAAAGCATTCGCCAGCACCACCTGGCTTTTTTGTCTTTGCTTTTTTGTTATTTTGAGGTTTTTTTGTTTTGCATTAATGTCTTTTTAAGAAGACATAATGGGGCGGGCGTGGGATAAGTGCACAGGAGTGCAGGTGCCTGCAGAGACCAGAAGAGGGCGTTACAAGTGGTGTGGGGCACTCAACTTGGATGCTGGGAACAAAACTCCGTTTTTCTGGCTTAACGTTTAAATTAGCTCTTTTCTGTGTGATAGATAAATGGAAGGATAAAGCAGGAAAAATTGGAAAGGTATTGTAGTATAGCTTTGTGGACAGTTAGTAATGAGGAGTGATTTGACAGAGAGATATGTGCAAGGATTTCAGATGTATAGGGTTTATTGGACAACTGGATGCAGAAAGTAAGGGGAGAGAGGAAATTCAATTGTTGTTCTTGCTAATTTTGTGAATAATGGTTAGGCTTTATTCTTTAACAAATGGTTAAGTAAAAGATTTGAATTCATTTGCAGACAGCCACTTACCCAACCCTGATTAAAGCATTCTAATTGCAGGTTAGTGTGGTGGCATGGGCCTGTCATCTCAGAATTTGTGAGGAGGAAGGAAGAAGGTCTCTTGAGTTTCAGGCCAACCTAGACTATATAACAAGATTATGTCCAAAAAAAAAAAAAACAAGATGAAAATCAGTAATTAAAGAAAAAATTCTAGTTGCAATTTTTTTTCATGAAGGATCTTAATTTAGGACACAATAAAATAAAGTATTTTAAGAAAAGCTAAAAGACCAGGCAGTGGTGGTGCACGCCTTTAGTCCCAGCACTAGGGAGGCAGAGGCAGGTGGATCTCTTTGAGTTCGAGACTACCCTGTTCCAAAGAGTGTGTTCCAGAACAGCCTCCAAAGCCACAGAGAAACCCTGTCTCCAAAAACAAACAAACAAACAAAAAAAGTGGAAGTCGTACTACACACCTTTAATCCCAGTTCTCAGGAGGCAGAGGCAGGCTGCAGATCTCTGAGTTTGAGATGAGCCCAGTCTACACAGCAAGTTCCAGGACAGCCAGGCTGTTAAACAGAGAAACCCTGTCTGGAAAAACAAACAGTAACAACAACGAAAAACAAACAAACAAACAAAAAAACCCAAAGAGCTCAAGCTGTGCTCACAGGAGGATTCACCTTGAAGATAAACTTCAAGTAAGTAGTACCACTTTCAAGTATCTGGTTAAACGTTTTCATCATTTACTACTTGTGTGCAATGCATGGTGTTTGAGTGTCTAGGGGATTGGACGCATCAGTAACTGAGAACCTGGGGCCTCTTCCTGCTCACTAGCCTGCTTGGAACCCTGACGGTTGCTTTACCTTGTGTCTTGGAGGAAGGCATTGAACTGAGATCTTAGGTCCTTGACTGTTTGCCTGATTCCTTACAAGTCTTAAATGGATTTGTTTTTTTACAAGTTACTTCAAATTTACTTCTAGAAATAGTACATATGGAAGTGGCAAGCATTTATACTTTTTTGTTACAAGGTGATGAACTTTTGAGGCTGAGTACCTAACAGTGCTTTGCAAAGAGCAGATACTTAATATGATTTTTAACAAATCATAATAATGTTTTTTATAATAAAAACTAAAATTTATTAAAATGGTTAATGTTATATTACATATAAATATAATTATAATTAAAGTAGTAATTTTTCTTTTAAGATAGTTCTCAGTGTGCAATCTTGGCTGGCCTGAAATTCACAATATAGACCAGGTTTGTTTTTAACGTTCAGTAACTGAAGATTCATGCGTTCTGGTGCCTTCTCCTGGTGGTCAGATGTAAATGCAGACGAAATACCCATATTCATAAAATACATCTTTTGGAAGACTCTAAACCTTTTTTTACTTTTTGAATTAACTTAGGAAACTTGTCCTATATGTTATTTATGTGTTTTGTGGATAGAATAGTAGGGATTCTTTGTTAGTTCCAAGTTTATGATATCTTTTTTATTTTTTGTTTTCTTCCTTTTTTGTTTTTAAATTTTTATTGATTTATGATATCTTAAAAAACAAAAAATAAAGACTACTTGTGTATTCCTTAATTTAAGTTTACCCGCCTTTGTTTTTGTTTTGCTTTTCAATCAGGCTTTAACTTGCAATTCCGAGCAGTAGGATTAACCACTCCAACACACCACACACTCGTCACAGAAACGTGCAAAATTCCTTACCTAGAGAAATTCGCTAGCATCTCAGAATACGTATGCATTCATAGGCGACTATTCCATGGTCTTGGCTCCTCAAAATGAAATGAGGAACGTCTTCTCATTTATTTACCCTTAGAATTTAACAACTTCCCTTTTCTATTCCTTTGTTTTGTTGTTTGTAGGGTTTTTCCCTTCGTTTTATCATTTTTTTCCTCCGTGAGAATTTGCGCTCTTATCTTCAGGTTGAGAAAATAGAATCCTTTCTTTTTGGTTTATTGCAATTTATTGGTTGAAAAGAAAACTTTTCAGCAACGGAAAATATAGTAAAGGAAAAGCAGCAGAACAAGTCTCAAAAGGACAAAAAACACGGCAAGGTTGCATCTGCCCGGCTAGCTCAGTCGGTAGAGCATGGGACTCTTAATCCCAGGGTCGTGGGTTCGAGCCCCACGTTGGGCGGTAAACTTTTTTCGTCTGACTGAGCGATTCAAATTTATTCTCAAATACTTGAGGGCTCTTAGAGAGCACTATGAACTTGATGGGCTCCAAAACTGTGGTAATTAAGATATTTTCAATATTAATCATCTGCGGCATCTCAAACTGCGCTTGCGCAGGTCCACGCCCATGGCTCGGGTTTAAACCGGGAGCAGAAACTAAAGATATTTTTAAGACTGCTTTTCTGTGTCTGCTTTCATAGCTGCTGGTAGTGGGCAAGTTCTTTTTTCCTTTTATAAAACTGTGAGCCCTGATTTCGCCTGTGAGACCCGGTGTCCCAACAGCGTGGGTGCGGCAGGGCACGAAAGAACTGACTTCCTGATTTGCGGACGTTCCGCAGTCCCTCCCGTCCCCTGCCAACGCGGGGCTGCTTCGGGAGTGCGGAGGAGGCTCCCAGCGCCGTCTTCCCCGCGGCCCCAGTGCGCCGGCCGCGCGGAACCGTCAGCGCTGCCGTCTGTCTCACCGGGGAACCGATGTGAGTGAGCCCGACGCGTAGAGAAGCAGAAGCGGCTCCTTCCCTGCCCGCGGCCGCGTGGGCTCCCGAGGAAGGGACCGCCGAGGCTGAAGACGCTCCCGGACGGGCCCGTTCCTTCCCGGAGGCCCGGCTGCTTCCTCGGCCGCCCGCCTCGCTCGCCTGCTGGCTCACTCCCTAAGCCATTCGATTCTTTACCGGCCTTCCCTCCGGTCCGCGTGCGAAGATTCTGCCAGCTCTTACAGCAAGCCGAAAGCGTCTCTTCCCCGCCCACCGCCCTC